TCTGGTGTCCAATTAAAATTGACCACGTGAAAATAGGAATCCCACTGGAATACTTGATTTTTGTAATTTTTTTAAAGAGTGGAAACCACCCTGTTAGGTGTCAATTTTTAATTGAAAACCCAACCCAATTTTACTTAAATTTTTCCATCTGGTCTGGATCAGACGCAACTAATCCGAAAGAATGCAGATCTCTACAATCATGTGGGCGTTCCCGCGCAATGGATGAACCTGAAATCAGACCTCTAAGGTTAGGGTTTCATTTGATCCTTCTCTATCCCATTTTCGCACTCATATTCCTTATATTTTGATCAAAGCGCCGTCGGTCAGTAGATCCCCATGTTTTTTGTGCAGTCATTGCGAGCGGCGATACAGTACTGATTGTTTCATTCCTTATTTAAACTTCTTCTGAACGATAACCAATGTAACTTTGGAGTAGATTGTGCCAACTGCTGATTATTTCCTGTTTTTTTTCCTTTAATTTCCTTTTAATTCGCTTCTATGCTTGATGTTAAAATGTTTTTGGATCAGGATAGGGTTTTTATTCTCCTATGTTTAAGAAAAGAAGCACCGGCCTCTTCTGTGATGCATTACTTTTGACTGTCCTAACATAAACTCTCTTTTCCGATCAATAAACTACCGTGCTTTTTATTAATGTGGATGGTGGAGATTCTATAGTCGGATGTTTTATGGAATATTTGTATCAGGGTCGCTTGTTTTTGCTCCTTGATGGATTAGCCAGACAGTTCTGCATTACTAGTTGAAGATAGGGGCTGCAAGGAATTTATGTTAGGAGCATAGAACGATTAATATTGCAACTTCTTGCATGTAAGGATTCCTTGAACTTCTTATATTGGCCGAGTATGTGTTTTAAGTTTGTGGTAGATTTATGTTTTACTATAAAATTTTAGAAAAGTGTATAATTACTCTATGTTTTCTACTATTTTTTCTTGATGTGGGTATCAAGAACGTAATCTGCATCTTCTACACCAAATTTTTGTTCAAAGAAATTAGATGTAATTAATATAATTGTTGTGTGCTAAATGATTGGTGGCGGTAGAGTAATAATTGAACATCTTAGCGTTGGACGAAGATCAAATACAAATAAATAAATTAGAAGTAAGCATGGGGAGATACCTCAATTTCTTACATAGAAAAACCCTACAACAACAACAACAACAACAACAACAATAAGTCCATAAGTGGCATCGGCTACATGAATCATTTTTCTCCATTATGTCTTATTGAGTATCATATTTTCATTTGGTTCTCATAAATTAAGATCAATTTCTTATACAACATGCTCAAATCTTTTTAGATCTACCTCTACTTTCCTTAACATAAGCCATCTTTCTAATCTTGTCTGTCACTGGAGCTACACCGACCCTTTCACGGATACATTAGTTTCACATTATGTCTCTAAGTGTTAAGCCACTTATCCACCTAAGCATTCTCATCTCAGCAACACTTAATTTAGTTTTATGCTTCTCTTTAAAAGGCCAACATACTGCTCCATAACTCGTTGTAGGTCTCATCTTCATCTTATAAAATTTTCGTTCAAGTCTAAGTAGTAATTTTCTATCACACAATAGGCACGATGCATTCCTCCACTTCAACCATCTAACTTGAATTCTACTAATAACATCCCCATCTATATCATTATCACTTTGAACAATAGACTCGAGATATCTAAAAAGTTCACACCTTTAAAAACCCTGACAAGAGAAAAAATCACAGCGCCTAACCCAATTGAAATAATTCACTTTGTAATTGTAAGTACATAGGTCCACTATTCTTTTGGATTAGACAGATGAAGTTACCAAGTTAATCATTGTAGATGTACAACAGTATTATGTCGATAATAGCTGCAATCTGGATGTAGTTCTTGGCGATAATGATGAAAGCACGGTGCAAGGGCCCTAGTTGATTGTTGTGGAGGTAGTTGTTCATCATAAATATTGTAGATGATAGTTGTAGTGTCAACTTATCGTAGAGGTCATAGTTGAGAACCGTGGTAGTAGCAGTTCATTTAGCTCATATGCGGTAGCTTTAGGAGCTTCAATTGGTCACAACAACCATAATAGAGAGTTGCAATGGGGTCTGTAGGAAGTAGAGGCCAAAATTGGAGCTGCATGAGCTGTGTGTCATGTAGGCCATAATTGTGAGTTGCAATTATGTGCATTCCCCGCAGAGATCAGAGTTGGGAGCTGCATGAACTGTGAGTCTAGTAGGCCGTAGTGGTGAGTTGCAATAAAATTCATAAGCCACATAAGTTGGAGTCGGGGGTCGTGGTAGTGAGCTGTAATAACGTTCGTAGGCCGTGAGGTCTGAGATAAAATTTACGTGAGTTACGAGCCACGTAGGCCATGGTGGTGGGCTACAAGAACAACCATAAGCCACAAAGGTTGGAGTTGGAAGTTTCAAGAGCTGTGAGCCACGTAAGTCGTTGTTGGTCATGTAGCGGAATCGCCAAAAAGAACCTGTCGGGTTTTGTTTTTCTTACTTTGGCACAGAGCCTTTGAATGTCGTGTAAAATCACATATTTAATTATTTAAATATTCAAACGCTACATCTAAAGTGGTATACCACCTTAAAAAATGGAAATACAACTTTTTGATAGGTTTGATTACTCAAACTAAAAAATATTGGATATTTGCTCTGATCTGTTTTTTAAATCCGACATATTGCTTCTCTTATCTAATCTGAAGACTAGATAGGGTTTAGATTAGTTCTGGGATCTTCATCTTCCAATAAGGACAAGCAATATATTTAAATATATCTCAAACAACCGAAGTTACTTAAGAAAACTCTTAATTAAAGCCTGCGGTTTTGTTCCCAAGAAATTTCTAAGCTTAGGTTTCCATAATTGGACATTAGATTTTCAAATGGGAAAAGCTAAAAAAATTGAACGGTTATTAATGGAGGCCGAAGGGAGAAGAGGTGGGGGACATTTAGAGATACCGAAGAAATCTAAGTGGTGTCCAAGATATTAGATATTTGCACTGATCTGCGCTTTAAACCCGACAGATTGCTTCCCCTATCTAATCTGAAGACTAGATAGGGTTTAGATTAGTTCTGGGGTCTTCATCTTCCTATAAGGGCAAGCACTATATTTAATTATATCTCAAGCAACCGAAGTTACTTAAAAAAACTCTCAATTAAGGCCGTGGTTTTGTTACCAAGAAATTTCTAAGAGGTTTCAATAATTGGACATTAGATTTTCAAACGGTAAAAGCTCAAAATTTTGAACGGTTAATGGAAGCCGAAGGGACAAGAGGTGGGGGATAGTTGGAGATACTGAAGAAATCTCAGTGGTGTCCAAAATTATCTTATTGTTTGACATTTGATGCTTTTGAAGAAAAAATTAATGTTTTATCCTGATATTTTGTTAGAATGTTAGAATTTATACTGTTTAACATGCAATCATGAAGAAGCCTCGAGATAAAGATTTACGTCGTATCTAGACGGACAACCTCGAAACCATAAGGTGAAGTTCACTAGAAAAAGTGAAAACTTCGAAACCTTAATCTAAAGGACTAGAAACACAAAATGCGATGGACTTATAACCCTGACTAGAAAAGGTTGTCATCTAAACCGTCTAAATGCTATTAAAACCATACACGACCGATCTCAATGATGTAAGATAGGGCGGGTTGGTTGTTGTTTTATTAAGAATAATGGACCTTACAATTAGATTATAAATTAAGCTTACTTAATTATGTTTGGTATGCAAAATATCGTAAAATTAATGCAAATATATTTTTGAGTCTTCAAATTTAACTATCATCAACTACAAATATACTTGAGAAGAAACAATTTGTTACTATAGTTTAAAAGTACAAGTACTCACCTCAATTGCCGATTAATTTGCCTTGACGTCGACTCTTTTGAAACTGAAATACCTAAAATAAACACAATAGTCATATTTATTATGTTATTATAAATTAAATAAATTATCTCATTTTTATTTTATCTAATTAATACATAGACATATTATTATTATTATCATCATCATCATCATCATTATTTATTATAAAAAAACAAACTTACCCTATCTCTTCACCTTCAACCGAACTACACACACCGAAAGATCTCCTCCTTCGTGTGAAAAAATATTACGTCCGGAGTCCGGACGCAAGGCTACGTCCAAATAACGGACGCGATACACCAAACAGATCGAAGGAGAAAAAAAAAATCGTCTCCCGTGTATTGCATCCGTGGTCCGGACATAGCTTGCCTCCGGACTCCAGACACAATATTTTTTCCCTTCACACGTGATCACTTACCCTTCTTCCTTTTTGTTTCCTGCACGGAAGAACCCTAAAGTTGCCTCCTCCTTCTCATGCGACACAACTCTTCTGTTCTCCCCGCCTTTCCTCTTCTTCCTCTACATGTCAGTAGCTAGAATTCGAGACTTCTACTTTGATCGAACCCCCATGTGACTCTCCTGGTAAGTTCTTGCGCGTTGTGTCTATATATAGTGTGAACTTGTCTCCTTAACTTTTAATCTCCTTGCTTCCACTCCCCCTCTTTGGTTTTCGTCTCATTTCTTCTCCCATTTTGTTCATTTGGCTCAACTCCTCCCCTTCCACTTCCAAGATTCTTCGTTTCCTCTCCCCTATTGACAGAATTGTTACATTTGCCTAAGGGCAATTTAGTCTTTTATTATTATGATTATTTATTTTAAATAGGGCTAATATGTTTATGGTTAGAGATATGGCATGAAATTGGGTCTTGTATCTTAGGGTAAGATTTGTGAGAGATATCATATCTCTCGAATTGTAGAAATTGAGAGAGATCGCCTACCTCTCAAATTGTAGGTGCTAGGGGAGATAATGCTCAATATCCACTTTTGTGGGGAAGTAAATTCCATCCTTTAATGGA